ATATCATCATTTTTGTATGCAAAATTTTCCTCCACATCATCAGTTTGAAAAGTCAAATTTGCTTCCACATTATTTGAACTTCTTTTTATAGAGGCCTGATAAAGTTTTATAGATGCTTAGGTGTACGACAGGTACGTGACCAATGTCTTTTCATGCCACATTGGCAATATTGATTTTCAACAAACTCTTGAAGGGCCTATTTTATCTTTTTTCTGCCCATCACCAAGTTTCTTCTTTTGGTGGGTATTTGGGTTATTATTGCTTCCCCCACCATAATAACGGTAATTTATGCGTCCCCTACCACGACCCCGGTCTCGACCATGACCACGACCATGACACGCCTGCGCCATGTATATGACGATTATTGCGTACAGTCACATTCGCTTCAGGAATGGAGCTGATCTAGTGGGACGAATCTCATGATTTTTTATTAATAGCTCGTTATTTTTGTTCAGCCACAAGAAGACATGAGATCAATTCAGAATATTTCTTAAAACCCTTTTCACGATATTGCTGTTGCAGGAGCACATTTGAAGCATGAAGTTGAAAATGTTTTCTAATAAGTCCTCATCTATTATTTTCTCACCACATAATTTCAATTGAGACTTATTTTGAAAACTGCTGAATTATATTTAGTCATAGATTTTAAAATCTTAGAGCCTCAAATGCATCCATTCATAATGAGCTTTAGGCAAAATTACCCTTTTTTGATGATCATACCTTTCTTTTAAATTATTCCACAATTCTAACGGGTCTTTCACCATCAGGTATTCAGCTTTCAACCCTTCATGCAAATGGTGGTGTGGGAAAATCATGGCCAGCCTTGTCATGGCTAGTTGCTTCATTTCCAGGTAAAATAGTACTTCCTAGGACTTTTGGCATCTAGACAATAATTTTTCCAGTGATGTCAAGAGCCGTAAACTCGAGTTTGGTAAGATTGGCCATGGATCAAACTAAAATGATAATAACAAAAATTAGAATTATAATAAATTGATGCACACTGAACAAATAAATAAAAATATTAGAATTCAAAAGTCACCCCATAAATAAATTATTCTTTAAAATTATAAACAAAATAAATGAATAAATAAACAATGACAAATAAACATATATGAGAAGAAGAAAAAAGATAAACAACACAAATAATTAGTTACCATAATAATATAGAGACAATGTGTATAAATATATATAGGGGGAAGGGAGAAAGCAGTAATATAAATAAATATATAAATATTACAATAGACTAACTAATATATAATAATAATTTAAATTAAAAACAAAGAAAATGCTACGGTGAATGAAATGAAATAAACGAAATCAATAAATTTATAAATAATGAAGCTAAATTATATAAATCACATTATATAATCACATATAATATTATTAGGCCTTATTATAAATAAATTATATAAACAACATAAATAAATACAAACAAATATAATGATAAAAAAAATATAAACAGTGTGTAAATTATATATATGTATATGGAGTTAGTAAATATAGATAAAATAACAGTAAATTATATATATAATGTATATGAGAGTTAGTACGATATAGAGATAAAACAACATGGGACACTATAATTATATGTATATGAGAGTTAGTACAACACTGATAAAATAAGTAAAACACCATAGATACCAAATGGAGATGATACATAAATTACATCAATTATTTAAAACACACATAATATTTTACAATATGACAACAAAATAAAATGACTTAAAATAAAACAGAATGTTAACATAATATAAAGCACAAAAAGGAGAAAAATAAAAATAACATTATGTTAACATAAAATTAAAAAAATAAAAATATATAACATAATGAAAAAAAATTAAAATGTAAAGAAAAGAACAATAGGGGTAACATTATATAATATAAACATGATAATTAAAAAAAGAGATAATATAAAGTTAATATGTAGTCAATAATAGATATATTATGATAATTGAGTAAAGAGATAATTAGACGATGAGAAGAGTGCATAATCTTACGAAGGGTTTATAACCTCAATTTTCAGAGTAAGGTCGTGCTGATACGTGTTGATGAGTGGACATCCAAGGGAGAGTGTTATGAATATGCATGAGTGGATGTCCACAACCCCTAACCCTTAGAATTCTAGTAAAGTTTTAATGAGGCACAATACTAATTATGGACATCAAAGGGGAAGTGTTATGAATATTGCATGAGTGGATGTCCATAACCCCTAACCCTTAGAATTCTCATAGGATTCCTATCTTCAAGTATCATAAACTACATAACCTCTCTAATGAATGACTGGGAGGAGTTTCTCATTGTTAATGTCATTATGATGTTCTTTATTCCTTTGTAACCTTAGTATAAGACTTCAATGCTTGGAAGCCTAAAAATAGAGGGCATGCTTGAGGCATTGTACCTGAATCAAACTGAATGAGAAAATGCCATTGTTCTTCTCTATCTCTTGCTTTCTTTCTTACTCTTAATTCTCCTTATTTCTTGTAGTTTTACGACATTATCTTTAATTTCCCCCTTCATTTCTAATATCAAATACATCTATAATTTCTTTGTAAAATTGGGTCAAAGCCTCCAATTGAAAATTTTATTAGTGAAAAAGACTGAAATGAAAGTACCGATATTTTGTATGTACAGAATTTGCAAAGTAAAAAATATCGGTACTTTTTGTGTATAAAAAATTATTACGTTTTTCACACAAATAGAATGTTAAATGGAGGTTTTTTCCCCCCTAATTTTCTCATACTTGTATGGGTATTATTTTATAACGTGTATTGTAAGGTACATTCAGAGGGAGGAGAAAAGTCTCACTTTCTCTATCACCGTATGGATTGCTGGCCAATAACAAGAAATTTATAACTTGTTTAACGGTTTGAGGGGTATTGAGGTTAGAACCATTCAAGTACAGTTGATGATAAAGAGTTAATGAGGCTTGACGAAGCAACTGAAAAGAGTGAATAAGATAATTTAATATTGTTTTTTATTTATTAACATTTACTTGACTGGGGGTTTTCTTTGATTATTTTTCATTCCAATCACGTCGCAAAAGGGCAAGTCTTCTTCCCGTTTGGTACGCTCGTGGAAAAATAATCTGTAACTAAAAAACTTTTTAGGGCACATATTTATTATATATATTGATATAATCATTATTCTTTACTATTTGTCATTTTTTTAATGATTTTTTTTAAATAGGCGTATAAGCATTACATTTTATCAAACAAAATTATTTTTTCATTTTCCCTTTTAATTTATAATATCAAACTTTGGTATACTATTTCTGTGTGTGTACTCAAAATCAAAATTTTGGGACAAAAATGAATTAATGGCAGCTGAACAATGAAGGACCATTTTGAAATTTCTCAATTCCAAACCTTTTGGCACGCCATTCAAGTAAGCCGAAAAAAATCTGACAAAAAAATAATGTCAATTTTTTTTTTGGGGATAATATGGTAATCTCTCATATTTCTCCCTCCCCTTCTATTTAAATACTATCTCTGATCCTTAATATAATATCTAATTAACTTGTTTGAGGAGATCAAGAAAGTTAATAAATTACCTTAATATATTTATATTTATCTTGTTACTTTTATAAATTAATATATAATCTAATGATATACATAAGTATTTTAGAGAAAATATAATTGGGTCTTATGTTAAGTATTAGAATAGTAATTTTGAAATTAATTACTTTTTCAAAAGAATATGTTATAAGGTCTCTCATATTTCACTTTGTTCAAGTTCTTAATTGAAACTGTTTTTGATTTGGCATAAAATATAATTATCAAATTGAAAATTGACCGGCCTTAAAAAATTTCATATTTCTTGACTATATTAGTAATTATTAAATTATATATGAACACTAATTTCAAAACTTTTCACCACAAATTTTTAGAAAAGTTTAATCAACGTTCGTTCAGTTAAGCACGTTTTGTTTAGTCAAGTGAATATTTGAATTAATTTATCTTAAGTGATTTTATATTTTCAAAATAAGTATATAAGAGGAATATTCCGTTGTAAAATGTAAAATAGATTTTTTTAGTTAATTCTCTTAATAAGTCTTTCTTTTTTATCCAAGGAACATAATTTTTTTTTTTGGTAGCCTCTAGATATAATGAACTTATTTTATTTTCCTTAATTATAAAAATTTCTATTCCGTTTAAAAGATTTACGTAATACGTTAAAATTAAAATTGAGTTGCACAAAATTTTCTTTTATTTTAATATTCATTTTCATTGACCATGACAGCCTATTAATTATTAGTCATTAAATAAAATAGTTTAATTATTTCTTGCAAAAAATTTTTTTTCAATAACTTGCAAGTATACAGGCCCTAACCCTGGGAATATTATTCTATATTAAAGCTATAATACAAAGAAAATTATATTATGAGTAAGGGTTACAGTGATGTTATCAGCAAATCTGTTCGTCATGGCCAACATGTCAGTGAATGTATTATGCGTTAAATAATAGAACTCAAAACCTTGACTTATAACTCTGTTATGGTAAGGAAAAAAAAGGCTTATAATTCTGTTTACAACTAGGAATTATAAGAATTAAATACACAGTGCACTAAAATTAATTTGTGTTTACAAGCCCATGGTTTATATACTGAAGCCAACCAGTTTTTAATGGCGACAATAATTCATTTTAGTTTTTTTTAATCAATTCTGATTATATTTTAGTTCCCATCAAATTCTTCAATCCAAGTTGGAAGAAGAAAGTGACTACTTGAGGCAGCGAGTATTATGACAAACCTTTTATTAAGCGTAGCTCTGCCTATAAAAGAAGCCTCATATGTTAGAGACCATATCCTTCACTCATTCGTATTCATAGCCTTCTAACTTCGCTCATGGCATTTCGAATCATCATCTATTTCTACTTGTTTCCTTCTTTCTTTTCCCTTTCTTCTTCTCTCAACCCCCCATTATGTAATTCTCATGATTCCATTGTGCTTCTTCATTTTAAAAACTCTCTCTCTCTTGATCATTCTGCTTCAATGCGGTGTGATGAGTTTTATGATGCTGGCTATATGCGGTTTAAGAACTCATCTTACCCAAATAGCTTCATGGGGAAATGATTCAAACTGTTGCTTGTGGGATGGGATCACGTGTGACTCCATGTCTGGTTATGTGATTAGCATTGACCTTAGCTGTAGTTGGCTCCAAGGTCAACTCCATCCAAACAATAGCCTCTTCCAACTTTCTCATCTCCAAACACTCAACTTGGCTTTCAACAATTTTAATGGGTCTTTGCTATCATCTCAATTTGGTGATCTTTCCAAGCTCATGCATCTAAACTTAAGCTGCTCTCATTTTGCTGGTAAAATTCCTCCTAAAATTGCAGAATTGTCTAAGTTGGTCTCTCTTGATTTGTCTTGGAATAAATTTTTCTTGTATAATGAGTCGTTGAGTTTAAGACTTGAACCATCCACTTGGGAGAAGCTTGCTCTAAACATGACTGATCTGAGAGAACTTGTTTTAGATAATGTAAATATGTCTTCCATTGCACCAAGCTCCTTGTCTTTGAAGTCACTTAATATTTTGAGTCTTGAAGATTGCAAATTTGATGGGCCTATTCCCACAAGTTTTGGGAACCTCACTCAATTAACTGATCTGAACCTTGCAAACAACTATTTTAGTGGTGAGCTTTCATTTCTTTCAAATCTTCAGAGTCTCACTTCATTGGACCTTAGTGACAATTATTTTAGTGGTCTCTTACCAAATTCCATAGGCCATTTGAAGTCTCTTGATTTTTTGGGTCTTCATTATAACCAATTTCATGGGCCTATTCCTACAAGTTTTGGGAACCTCACTCAATTAACTAATTTGAACCTTGCAGGAAACACTTTTAGTGGTGAGCTTTCATTTCTTTCAAATCTTCAGAGTCTCACTTCATTGGACCTCAGTGACAATTATTTTATTTTAGTGGTCTCTTACCAAATTCCATAGGTCATTTGAAGTCTCTTGATTTTTGGGTCTTCATTATAACCAATTTCATGGGCCTATTCCTACAAGTTTTGGGAACCTCACTCAACTAACTGATCTGGACCTTGGACAAAACAATTTTAGTGGTGAGCTTTCATTTCTTTCAAATCTTCAAAGTCTCACTTCATTGGACCTCAGTGACAATGGTTTTACTGGTCTCTTACCAAATTCCATAGGCTATTTGAAGTCTCTTGATTTTTTGTGTCTTCAGTATAACAATTTTCATGGGCCTATTCCTGTAAGTTTTACTAACCTCACCCGATTAACTTATTTTGACCTTGCATTTAATAGTGTTAGTAGTGAACTCTCATTTCTTTCAAATATGTCAAGTCTCACTTTATTGCACCTCGGTTACAATTATTTTAGTGGCTTGTTGCCAGATGTGTTTGGAAATCTTTCAAATTTGAAATCTCTTGATTTCTCTGACAACAAGCTGCAAGGTAATTTTCCCGAGTCAATTTTTACCCTCACATATCTTTCTTATTTGAGTCTATCATCAAATAACTTGAGTGGCTCCGTTAATTTTTACCAATTTTCCAAGCTTCAAAATCTAGAATATCTTGATCTTTCAAGCAACAAGTTTCTCTCACTTACCTTTGATAATAATCTTAACTACACCATTCCTAATCTTGATGTCTTACATTTAGATTCTTGTCATATCACTATCCTTCCGAAATTCATTGGCCTTCCAAATTTGCAGCAATTACATCTTGATGATAATAAGTTGCAAGGTCTTCCTGAGTCAATTTTTGGTTTCCTAAATCTTTCACGTCTAAGTCTGTCATCAAATAATTTGAGAGGCCCTATTAGTCTTCATCAATTCTCAAAGCTTCAAAATCTAGAATATCTTGATCTTTCAAACAACAAGTTTCTCTCACTTAGCTCTCATAATGATGTACACTATACCATTCCTAATCTTGCACAGTTAGATCTATCCTCTTGCAACATCAATGACTTTCCTAAACAGCTAGGAGACCTTCAAAATGTGCAGCGGTTAAATCTTTCCAATAACAAAATTCATGGAGATATTCCCCAATGGTTCAATAATGTGGGGAATGGTACTTTGGATACTTTGGATCTCTCTCATAATAACTTGACATCAGTTGAACATCTTTCAATGAAAAACTTGAGGTTTCTTGATCTCAGCTTCAACTTGTTGCTAGGAAATCTCCCAATTCCATCCTTTGATGTTGAATTCTTTTCAGTGTCCAACAACAAATTTAGTGGACACGTTTCTTCCTCATTTTGCAATGCAAGCTCACTTGAGATGCTCAACTTATCTCACAACAACTTGTCAGGCCACATCCCAAAGTGCCTTGTTGCTCTCCCAAATCTTGAGAGTTTAGATCTGCAGATGAATAATTTTGTCGGATCTATACCAGACAACTTTTCCAAGGGCAATTTTTTACAATTTTTGCATTTGAACAACAATCAATTTGAAGGACAGTTGCCTTTGTCTTTGACCCATTGCAAGCTATTAGAAATTTTAGATGCGGGAGCAAACAAGATCAATGACAGATTTCCTAATTGGCTTGAAGGCTTACCAGAGCTACAGGTACTCATTTTAAGAGATAATAAGTTCTACGGTGCCATTCATAGTTCCAACACCAAACATCCTTTTCCCATGTTAAGAATTTTTGATGTTTCCAACAACCATTTTGGAGGATCTTTGCCAACAACATACATCAAGGAATTTAAAGGAATGATGAATGTTGACTTTGTTTCAGCCAGACTAGATTACTTGGAAAACTTGTATGGATCTCGTTATTATCAAGAATCAGTGATGATCACATTGAAAGGTGTTGATTTGGAGTTGGTAAAGATCATAACTACATTCACATCCATTGATTTGTCAAAAAACATGTTTGATGGAGAGATTCCACATGTTCTTAGTGAGCTGCATTCACTTAAGGGGCTTAATCTCTCCCACAATAAAATCACTGGTCCTATTCCTCAATCCATCGCAAACTTGACAAACCTAGAATCGTTGGATTTATCATCAAACTTGCTTAAAGGTGAGATTCCTCTTGAACTAGCTGATCTCAACTTTCTTGAAGTTTTGAATCTTTCACAAAATCAACTTGTTGGAGAAATACCAAGAGGTAAGCAGTTTGATACATTTTCACAACATTCTTTTGAGGGAAATTTAGGACTGTGTGGATTTCAATTGTCAAAAGCATGTAATCATGATGAAGGGAAATTGCCACAATCAACTTCATCAAGTAATGACAAATTTGGATTTGGTTGGAAACCAGTGGCTTTGGGATACGGATGTGGGATGGTGTTTGGAATATTCATGGGTCAAGTTGTTTTCTTAACTGGAAAACCTAAAGGGCTTGTCAGAATTTTTCAAGCTAGGCCTAAGAAACAAGCAAAAAGGACAAGGAAAAGAGCCCATCAGAATCAAAGAAGAGTGAATTAGACACAAAATGTGGCTTCATGTGATATATTGCGTCATCTTTTTTTTTTCCCATGTTTCCACTACGGTTATTATTTCATGCTTCTTAAATATCTTGTGGAATGTAATGTACTGTATATTTTAATGCAAGTTATTGTCTTTCCCCCTTTTTTTTTTTAATGAATTTCAAGTCATTTGCCTTCACTTGTATGCTATGTACTATTTGATCATCATGTGAACAAAATTTTCCACATATTAGCAACTTTTTTTCCTTTTGGTGCAGACATGTCATCAACTTATGTTATTTGAATTAGTTATCAACCATTCAACCTTTCTCATTTAATTAATGATTTAAAGAAACTTATAATTTGTTTGTTTCCTTAATTTAAAGTTCTATTAAAGGGTTTTAGGCTTTTATAAATATGTGAAAATCACTTTCTACTTCAAGATGTTATGATCGATACATGATTGTTCAGAATAATGCTGCAATGAGGAATTTAAAATAAGCAAAATGATTTTATTTCAAATTTTAAACTCTTAACAATTTTTTCTTCTCCTTGCCAAACTCTTAAAATTGAAAATATGACAAAGCAAAACACGAGCCTCAATTGCTTTATTACTTAACAGTTAACATTCAACTGGGCTCGTCCTCTCATGAAAACCTTGGGCCTAAAACCATTTTGGCCCATCAACGACGTCATGACCTTTTTTTTTCCTGTGAGTTTATAAATTCTTCTATTCGTTTCTTTACCCCTTATTTGGATTGAGAGAAAATTAGAGAGGAAAAAAATTAGATAAAAAATGGAGAGAAATTAGTCTTTTTCTTATTTGGATATGAGAGAAAATACGAGAGGAAGAAACCCCTTGCTCGGAGTGAAATAAAATTATGGAGGAAAAAAAAAGTAGAAAACTAGAGAGTAAAATATGAGGAGAAATGAGTTTTCTAAATATCAATGTAATGAATTATTTCAAAATCAATTCTAATTGAATTGGACCTCTTCCTAACAAAATTCATTTAGTTGATACATGTATCCACCAATTCAACATAGGCACAAGATTTTTCAAGATTGGATAGGAGAGAAAATATGGGAGGAAGGAAAAGTGGGAAAAAATAAGGTAAACTCCATATATCATTTTCTCTCCAAATATGGAGAGACTTGGGAAGAAAAACAAGATTTTCCTGATTGTCCCTCCTCTCTCTTCCTCTCACATTTATTTTCTTTCATATATTTAAAAAATTATTCACTTTTTATTTTTTGTCTTACAAGAACATTTTTATTAAATAGTTTGCTTTTAAAATATAATACTATGAAAAAATATATAAACCAAATAATTTGATTTGAAATTATTTGATGATGCTAACGTTAGTATAATATTCTGATTACAATATTTAATTTGATTTAATTTTAAATATGATATATTTTGATAAGGATATTTCAGTTATTTAGATATTTACTCATTTTTTCCTCCCTATTTTTCTCTAATCTATCCAAGCAAGAGGGTGGTAACATCTTCTCTGTAGTTTTTTCTTCTCTCTATTCCTCTCCTCCCAACTTTTCTTCCCATTCCAGTAGAGTAGAAAGATGGGGGAGTAAATAAAACATGCCACACATCTCATTTGCTCTTCAAATTTTCTCTTTATATATTGAAAGGTTTGGAAAGGAAAATAAGATTTTTGTGACTGTCCCTCCTCTCTTTTCCTTTCCATATTTATTTTTTTATTATATTCAAAAGATTATTCACTTTTTATTAAATAATTTGGTTTTACAATATGACAATATGAATATATATATATAAACCAAATAACTTGATTTTAAATTATTTGATGATGCTAATGTTAATATAATGTTCCTATTGCAATATTTAATTTGATTTAATTTTAAATATGATATATTTTGATAAGGATATTTTAGTTATTTAGATATTTACTTATTTTTTTCTTTTCTATTTTCTCTCGTCTATCCAAACAAAAAAGGCAACAACATCTTCTTTTTAGTTTTTCCTCCTCCCTATTTTGCCAGTTTTGTGTTTCACTGTTTCATTTGATATCATTAAAATCAAATTAAAAATAAGGGTCAATGAAATATTGTAAATACTAAGTAGGAAAGAGGACCCCAAAAAAATTATAATAAGTGCTTGAATCCACCAATTTCTCCCAAAAAAATAATTTTCAAGTATGTATTTATATATATATATATATCTATGTATATAGAAGTTCATTCATACATTTTTTTCCCTCATTTTCCTCCCAATTTTCAAGTCCTTCAAAAAACTTCAACCAAGTTGATTCAAACAATCAAATGGTCATAATTAAAAAGAGGGTCTTAAACTAAACCGTTCAACAAGCCTTTATACAAGGGCGTCCCAAATTATGTGGTGAATATAATTTTTTAAAATTCGTATATACTAATATAAGGTGTTAAATTGGCAAACTCCTCAGGTCAAAAAAAAATTGAAGACCCAAAAAAATACAAGTGTTGATTCATATGAAATAAAAATATTTAGTTAAATTAAGCACAACTTACTTGGACAACTAGGGGTTCCGAAAAAGTTGGGGTATGAGTCTTTCTTTCTTTGTTGTTTTTTTTATTTTTTTATTTTTTGGATACATGAGTCTTTCTTTGTAAGGCTTGTTTTATTTTTATTTTTTCTAAAGTTTGTGTGAGAGGATGCAAAGAATTGTAGAAAAAATAACAGCAAGAGACATTTTTCAATATTCTTGCCATAGTTGTAAATGTAAGAGTTAACTCTTAAATCGATATCTCAATATCTTTTGTCTCTACAATTTATAAATTTTTTTAAGTTATTGATTGCATATTAAAGAGAATTTTTATTCCTGAGATGATGACTAAAGGGATATTTCGAAAAATTAAAACATATTTATTACAAATAATTAAGTTAATAAATTTGTTTGATATATATAAATTAGTTATTTAGCTTTACCGTTTAGGACCAAAGAAATAATTTTTAATATAAGAGTTTGTTTAACTTTTATTTTAATCATAAATATTAAACACCAATTTATTTTGTCTCTTATATTTATCTATTTTTTCAAGGTAGTTCTTATAATAATGGTTGTGCTAACCAATAACATTTAATTAACAATAATATCTTAGGAAAGACAATATTTATTTATTACAAATAACTAGCTTAATTAGTTTTCTTAATCCACTCAAATTAATCAACTAGCTCTTATATTAAAAACCAAATGTAGTATTATTCTCTTAAGTGGTTATAAACTTTTGAATGTTTTATGATGGGAATATTAGCCAAATGCAAAATAAATTTAATTATATAAAAATTAGATTTCAAATCTTGAATTCAAATTGAAACTTTTCAATATGAATAACATTGAATGGCGATTAAAACCAACATAAGAAATACTACTTGTTATTTGATGGCAAAAGAAAAAGAAAAACTTGTTATTTAAATGATCACATAATTTGATCAGTAAATTTATTTAGTAACATTTTTTGAAACAAAAAGCAAATCTTGAAACATAAATATTGTCATTTTTTTTTAATGAGAAATATTGTCATGTTAAATCTTAAAAATTAGAACTATAACGCGTCGGGTAAAATTCAACGGGTTTAACGACCGGCAAAACGCAACGCGACTATGAACTCCGACGAATTTCACTCTGCAGATCTCGTGCGAAAATCTTCATCCTTGCTTCAGAGGAGAAGAAACAGAGTCAGTGGATTTGAGTTTTGAAACCCTAGCTGAAGTCGGCATCTCAAACGAAGATCAGGTGCTCAAATGTCCGTTACTCTTTTTCAATTTTGACCAACGTTCATGTAATTTCTCCCACTTTCTGTGAATTCCTTGTCACTATCATAGCATAGCTGGTAATCGCGTAATCTAGTTCGGATCCTTACGATTCGAAGCTAAGTTTTATGAGATTATTTTTGGAACTCTTATTCTCTGCATAATTGGGATCAATCCTGTATGTTAAAGATTTAGCTCCGGGGTGAGACCATGACCATAATGACTTTTGGTGACTTTATGATGTTTTATAGTGTAGAGGCAGACTGGCTATCTGGGCAGTGGAAAATGCACCGTGGTCCAGTGGCAGTGGAGGAGCAATTGCTACAGAGAGCTATTAAAGAAGAATGCCCTTGGGAAAACCTTCCAAAACGACTTCAAGTAACTCTTTCTTCTAAAGAAGAATGGCATAGAAGGCGAGATTAACCTGATTAAGGTCCTTCTAAATCTATTGCTTTTGTTTACTTGCCTCTATGAATTGTTTAATTTAGTTACCTGACATAGACGTCACTGTCCAAACAGCATCCTTAAATGGGTTTCTTTTTCAAATGCATTTTTAAAGTACCTTATTTCTTTTTCTGGCCCTGGAAATTTAATGCAGGATTATAGAATACTGCATAAGGAAGAGACTCCAATGGAATAGCTGTTTCGCTCGCAAAGTTTGTAAAGAAAGGGAATATTATGAAGAGATGATGCGTTACTTGCGGAAGAACTTGGCTGCATGTGCTCTATGGAAATTCTATTTTTAGGAATAGTTTCCAATACACTATATTTAATTGTCTTTTTACCAAAAGGATAATATCTGTTTGTCTATAACTCCGCATATTAAAAATAAAATAAAATTAAGTTAACATATATGTAGAACTGCTTGGATGTTGTGTGAGGCCCTCAATTTCTTTTCGTTTTGTTGTAGGAAATGTGCATTTAGTTAAGATATTAATATAGGGTATGATGTCCATATCTTATCCCAGGATATACATGCATAAACATACTAATGAATTAATTAATATTAAACCCACGCTTCTCAACAAAATTTCTAATATTGTATGAGAGAATTAGTTAGCTCGGTCCAAAATTTGTAATATTGTATGAGAGGATACCTATGTGTAGCAACAAGGGGGGAAAAAGATGCATATGTTCATCATACTAGGAATCTCGTACAAAACTTCGTTTTTCTGTGTCTTTTTTGCTCCAAAAATATGAAGATAATTTAAGCAAGGAAACCAATATGCTAATCAAGGAAATTATGTCATGACTTG